TTTGTAATCTCTTTTCCGTGTCCGCTATCAGCACTGTGCCAACTGCGTATCTTATGTTGTTAAGATTGTGGCTGCCAATAATAAATCCTGATATAATTGATTTTACGCAGCCTGTTGACAAGCTTGTCTTCTGTCCTGTTAGTTGCCTTATCTGTTTATGCATATCTCCTTTGTCGGCGGTACACAATCTTTCTATTTCTGCACATTTTTTGTTTAGCCACTCTTCCTTATCCTACCCACATTTGGTCCTTCTTTTGTTGTGTTGTTTTCGGCATTCTGTTTCTTGGCAGACTTTTCTGTCTCCTTTGCATCATGTCGAGAATCTCAACAGTGATCCACTTGTTTTTAATTCTTCCTCCATTCTCCTTTGGGATGATATCATTTGCTGATGTCACTAAAGCTTCTTTTTTTGCCTCTCAATTCGAGTTTACATTTCCATTGCGTACCTCGTATCTTCTTTTCACACTGTCCACATATTTTACTTTCAGTTACGGGTCGCTCAGGTGTATTGCAATTTGGGTGCTGCGTTCGGTTTCTATCAATTTCCGTAGTTTCCCTCATAGTTTACACTAGCAACATGACCCGGCGTTGCCCGTACTTGATTCAAAAATCGTACGACTCATACAGCAATCGCTATCACTTGACTTAAAATATTTTTGCCCTTACTTGCCTTTAAAGGAGTGCCCTTTGCCGTGCTGATGTTGCTACATGCCTTATTTCTTGCCTATCTCACACTGCTAATTTTTTCTAAGCTCTAAACTAAACATTAAATCTGTTAAGAAAAAAGAACTAAACAAAATGAACACAAAACGATCAGCTTTAAAAAAGGACTCGTAACTGGAAAAACCGAATGAAAAAAGAATGTTAACAACAAATACTTTTTCCCACCCAACCCAGTTCTGCGGAATCAGAATCAACGTTGAGTTTAAGCAAGCGAATGAGTCAATTGGAATAAAGTGCCATGTAGATTTAAATTTTTCCCACTTGTGGCGAATGCAACTATCGATTTTTTTTGCATGCTAGCATGCTAGTTAACATTCGTGTCAGCCAGCTGTTGGCTCTCACGCTGGCCAATAGAATCTTCCTACCTATTCGTGGCAGCCAGCTATAGGCTCTCACTCTGGCCACTAGAAAATGACCGCAAACTACATGAAAACTGCCGTAGAAGCATAAAAAAATCGATTATTTCCTCTATCGATGGGAGTTGGGAAATGCAATGTCGGTCCTGGCCTTCCCGCTAACTTGGAGCATGTGCATGTAAATTTTGGTGCAAATCCGTCGAAAATTGCGGCCGTGCATTCGTTGCATTCACACACACACACACACACACACACACACACACACACACACACACACACACACACACACATCCTGCCTTTTATAGATAGAGATATAACGGGTGGATGATCGCTCCCGCAGTCGGCACTTGGGTAGGTTTTGCAGTGAACCATTGCATTCCTGAATCTATTGTTGATAGTGATGTAGTCAATTTGGTTTACAGTTTCTCCTCCTGGCCTCCTCTATGTCCATAATTGTCTTGGATGTTCTTGGAACCATGATTTGATTATTACCTGGTCATTGGCCGTGCATCATTGGATCCATTTCTCTCCACGCCCCGTGAGTTATTTTTTCTTTGATACGAACATTCGCAAGATAACGGTCCGGTGACACCTGTCGCCAATTACGCTCCTTTCCGGCGAGGGATAGGTTCCAAGGAATTTTATCCCCTTTACGCCGCTTCTGCTAGAAGTCGCTGGATTAAAGTCAGGTGACACCTGTTGCACATGTCGGTCCTTACCGGGCGAGAAGTTAATTCCCATAGACTTAAACAACTTCACGCCTAAGATATTGATTTTAGCCTACTCCTTGTTTCACATTATTTACCCAATATATATATATATATATATATATATATATATATATATATATATATATATATATATATATGCTCTGTCTCTGATATTGAGCACTTTATCCCATAAATATAGCACACTTTAAGAGTATGTTTCTTCATATATATATATATATATATATATATATATATATGTAGAGGCCATAATATAAGGAACGGAAAAAACAAAGACATAAATATGTGTATTACTTAAAATATAATGCATGATTAGCAATGCAATTTTTACCGAATAAACATTAGGGTGTAATGCATAAATATTATACAAAGTTACAAAAATTTACATAATAGTTTTTTTTTTAAATAAAGATTAAATGGAACAAAGGAAATAAGCTACTGGACAAAAGGAACGATGTTAATAATTTGCATTAACTTTTAATTTACATTGTTAAAAAACTCGATGGAGCTTTTCAACAATAAGTAAAAGTTCATTTATCATTAGGACTTTATTTTGAAACAGTATGGCAAATTCTACATGCAAAACGCCCTCTTTTGAACAAAAAACTCATTATCGCTAACTATCAAGTAAAAACGTCAATTTCAGAAATTTCTGATATTGTTCATAGGTCAAAAAGTGTCGTTCATTGTGTA